GACACTTGACTGAACTTAATAAATAAAATGACATTTGTACCATTTCATTTTCCCCGTTTAGAACTTAGAATACGGTGTCACTTCCTTAAACCACGGTACAGGTACACACGTAATAATCCCGGGATCAACCGACCTATTGTAGTATTGGTATTTTACGTCTTTCTGTCGCCCGTGTTATTTACATACAACTTATTACGCTTGTATCACCAGACCTATTGTAGTATTGGTATTTTACGTCTTTCTGTCGCCCGTGTTATTTACATACAACTTATTACGCTTGTATCACCAGACCTATTGTAGTATTGGTATTTTACGTCTTTCTGTCGCCCGTGTTATTTACATACAACTTATTACGCTTGTATCACCAGACCTATTGTAGTATTGGTATTTTACGTCTTTCTGTCGCCCGTGTTATTTACATACAACTTATTACGCTTGTATCACCAGACCTATTGTAGTATTGGTATTTTACGTCTTTCTGTCGCCCGTGTTATTTACATACAACTTATTACGCTTGTATCACCAGACCTATTGTAGTATTGGTATTGTACGTCTTTCTGTCGTCCGTGTTATTTACATACAACTTATTACGCTTGTATCACCAGACCTATTGTAGTATTGGTATTGTACGTCTTTCTGTCGTCCGTGTTATTTACATACAACTTATTACGCTTGTATCACCAGACCTATTGTAGTATTGGTATTGTACGTCTTTCTGTCGCCCGTGTTATTTACATACAACTTATTACGCTTGTATCACCAGACCTATTGTAGTATTGGTATTGTACGTCTTTCTGTCGCCCGTGTTATTTACATACAACTTATTACGCTTGTATCACCAGACCTATTGTAGTATTGGTATTTTACGTCTTTCTGTCGCCCGTGTTATTTACATACAACTTATTACGCTGGTATCACCGGGTCTATTGTTATATTGATATTTTACGTCTTTCTGTCGTCCATGTTATTTACATACAACTTATTACGCTGGTGTGACCAGATCTATTGTAGTATTGGTATTTTACGTCTTTCTGTCGCCCGTGTTATTTACATACAACTTATTACTCTGGTATCACCCGACCTATTGTTATATTGGTATTTAACGTCTTTCTGTCGTCCGTGTTATTTACATACAACTTATTACACTTGTATCACCGGATCTATTGTTATATTGATATTTTACGTCTTACCATCGCTGGTGCTACCAGTACATTACGCTGGTATTACCAGATCTATTGTAGTATATTTTATGTTTCACCATCGCTAGTGCTGCTGGTACACCCCGTACATTACGCTGGTATTACCAGATCTATTGTGGTATATTTTATGTTTCACCATCGCTAGTGCTACTGGTACACCCCGTGCATTACGCTGGTATCACCGGGTCTATTGTTATATTGGTACTTGGCGTCCAACTATTGTTCTCGCTACTGGTGTATAGTTCATTATACCGGGATCACCAGATCTAGACGTCTATGTCTATCGTCAGGGCTACTTACATACACCTCGTCATTCTGGTATCACCAGATCTATTGTTATATTGGTATTCGTCGTATATCTAGCTTAGACGGCTCTAGCTCTAGTTTTTGTGAACGGAACAGCTGTGTATGGGTGGGTTGCGTGCCTTGGGTTTTGTTACACAGTGATCTCTTTATGTTGGGGGGGGGGGGGGGTTTGGCAATGTATTGATTCCTCCCGTAATTGACTGGAGGGTGTGTAGTAATTAAGTCTAAATATGCTTCATCTGAAGTAACAGCCTTGTGGATTTCCATAAGTTATTTTATTTTTGAAAGTTACAAGTTGTGTGCTACCAAATAGTGTCCTGGTGGGGGGGGGGGGGCAGTTCCTAGATATATAATATAAACTCTGGTGTTGGGTGATAACGGCAGTAGCGCCACAAAGCGTGGACGGGTTGAAGGGGGTGGGGTGGGGGTGGGGGGTTGTGGTCTGCACAGGGTGACACCATTTAGGGGATGACACCGAAATCTGTTGATGTATATGTGTAGTTTTGAGGTATTGGTGTTTTAAATGTATGAATAAATTAAACTTCCAGGTAATTGTTTACTAACTCGTCATACTTAAGACCTTACATTTATAGTCCAGTTTTTGGTCGTAATTTCTTACAAGATGATTTTTTTAAAATTCAGCATGTTGACCTGTAATATATAAAAAAAAAGGTAATAAGTCTCCAGTTTGAAGTAAAAGCTATCAGTTGTACACAACTCTCCACACCAAACCCTCTCTTACATAGTGTCTGTGTATTGATGACATTATGGTAACACATGTCATAGTCTAGTTAGACCTAACCCAAACCATTACTGGCATAGTGTCTGTGTATTGATGACAATATATGGTAAAACATGTAATAGGCCTAGTTAGGGTTTACTCAACTGCCACAATAAGAAACAAATCTACATGATTGCTGCCAGTGAATACAGAGTGTGATAGAAGGGCATGGCATTATATTTATCAGCAGTGGAGAGAAAAAAAATATATGTCCTACACACACAAAAAAGCAATATCCATACTGTCCAGTGCTCACTTGCATGGTAATGAGAGAAGCTGATCAAAAACTTTGATCAAGGATAATTAAAGAAATGTATGCATCTAACTCATGTTTGTCAGTGTGTCTTCCACCCCACCCCCCTAACCAAATTGAGTCCACACCCCCACCTTGTAAAACACCACTGCTACTGCCACTTTCCCCCATATCTACACTGTGCTGATCACGTACAGCATCTACAGTCTTAGTTGAACTCTGACCCTTGCCATATAGAGAGAGAATAGATGTCTGAGAAGGATGTGATTATAGATGTAAATGTAGCCTGCTGTTCTGTATAATGTTGACTAGGGTATAGACCAGCTTACATAACACATGTGTTCTAGTAGGTTGAAAGGGCTGAAATGCAACTACAAGAAACAAAATAATTTGAAAGGAACTTATGCAAATACAAGAAATAAAATGCTTTAAAAGGAACGTATGCAAACAAAATAATGTTTGACTATACCTGACAAGTCAGCTATCAGTTGTCATTAGTGACTTTAAAATTTACTTTCAAAAAAATTTCAGAGTTTCTTTGTGGGCTACAAAAAAAAAGGGCATTAAAACCTGACTGGTGGTATTTCTATAAGGAAACTGTCTTGAACAAATAATTAAACAGAGAACTTTAATAAAAAAAAACGGAACAAATATTTAAAAAAAGGTTGCTTCCTAGGAGGCATACAAGTAAGGGAGGGAATAAAAAGTCTGTGCTTGTGTAGCGGATCATTATCATTTTGTTAATAAGTTAATATTCAGCTTCGGAGATAAAGCTAAAGATGTTAAAAAATTAGAGGAAGTTTAATACAAAGAATTAATTTGATTCTCTGGTCATAGTATGCTTGCCTCCAATACATTCATAAATCAATCATCTTGCCCAAGACACAAAGGGGCAGATGATTTGTTTCAGAGACCAATAAATTAATGCGTCCATGAAAATAAACTTTAAGTATAACACTCCTCCTTCCTTTATAATAACTATCAAAACCAGTAAAGTTTATGTTGGAACATGAATATCTAAGGAGCCAACACATCTTCTATGTCTTCAGTATGCCATATTCACATGCACAATTTAGTTGGAAAAAACCTCGTCCAACATTACAATCTAGAATGAGGAACAAGAAAAGAGTAGAGAAAATGTACTTGTAATAATTGTGTTATTAGTATTGTTTTCACAATAGAAATAATTGATAAAATGTCCCTGCTTGAAAAAAAATGCCTTTACTTAACCATGGATGAAAGCAGGAAAAAAAATGGAAGATTTAGATTACTAGTTTGTGTTGAGTGGTTTGATTGATATAGCTACCCCAAAAAATGCCATTGCTTTTAGAATGTGATGGGAGGTTTGATGTAGGGTAACTATCAGGAAAAATACCAATGTTTTACAAGAATGTGATGTGTGGTTTGATTGAGGTAACTATCAGGAAAAATGTCAATGTTTGACCAGAATGTGATGTGTGGTTTGATTAAGGTAACTATCAGGAAAAATGTCAACATTTAACAAGAATGTGATGTGTGGTTTGATTGAGGCAACTATCAGGAAAAATGTCAACATTTAACAAGAATGTGATGGGTGGTTTGATTGAGGTAACTATCAGGAAAAATGCCAATGTTTGACTAGAATGGGATGGGTGGTTTGATTGAGGTAACTCAGGAAAAATGTCAATGTTTGAATAGACTGTGAAGGGTGGTTCAATTGAGGTAACTCAGGGAAAATGTCAATGTTTGAATAGACTGTGAAGGGTGGTTCAATTCAGGTAACTCAGGAAAAATGTCAATGTTCAACCAGAATGGGATGTGTGGTTTGATTGAGGTGTGTAGCCACCAGATGTTGCAAGTCTATTTGAATAAATTCTGTTTTAACATATGCCAGTATGGGGTAATTACCATCTGATCTTCACTGGCTTTTTTTTTTTAAAGTTTGTCTCTTTCAACCATCACTGTTGTCAACACACTGGGGCATCATAGTTGTGTAGTTGGAATGTTTGACCATACAACACCAGTTCTATTGAACTTCTCACCATCTGCATCTCTTATTTGTTCATGATTTTTCCTAGTTAAAAAAAGTGTGTTGATTAATATTTAAATTGATTTTACATCAACAATGTTTATGATTTTGCTGGAAAAAAAATTCTGAGCATATAATAAAATTATACTTGGTAAAAGTTTAATTAAGAAATAATTTTGACCGCTGTGATTGCTATACACATGTGTGTAAATATATATATATATATATATATATATATATATATATATATATATACACGTGTGTAAATATATATATGTATATTTATATATACACATGTGTATAAATATATATATATGTGTATTTATATATACACACATGTGTATATGTGTATATATATGTATATATATGTATTTATATTTTTTTTATTTATTTATATAAAATTATTTATGGTTTTCCTTTCATTTTTTTATAGTTTTCTTTTTTGTGTTTCAGACATGCAGAGATAGTGGTAAAACATACTAGTGTGGGCAGTGAGTTACTCAAACTGTGGTCAGCGCTATGTTCTATGTACCCTTGGCTAAAGAAGCAGTTATGGATGTCACTAAAATTGTGCAGAAAAAATTGGCACAAGATGAAGTTTGTAAACTGGTAATGACGTCATTATTTTCGTCGCTCTGGTTAAAGTTAAAAATTTCACCCAGGGTAGAGATAATAATTAGATGTGTAATTAGTTAAAATGATGATCAATGACTTCGTTTACCTTCAGGCCATTGAGTGTGTGAAAGTGGTGAATGGGAAACGGTTACTGAGGTACGCCGCCCTTGTTGGCAGGAACAGTGAGCATGGGTAAGTTTTACTCGGGTGATTATTAGCACTAAGCCTAGTTCAACACAGGTTGGTTTAAAAAAGTGAATTATATTTTTATTAGAGTTAAGTGGTCATCCATCAATAATGTCCAATATGTAAAGCAATTTTTACCTCCCCCCCCCTATTGTCACACATCCTTACAAAAAGTCAGACACTATACACCCATCCGCCCTAAAATGACATCCCACCCTACCATCACCATCAAAATTGTAATTTATTAATTTTTAAAACAGTGGTTTCTTTTTAAAATATTTGGTGAGCTCTGTCAACTTTGAGTATCCTTATCAATTTTTAATACAATTCACAAAAAAGTCCTGTGAAAACACAAAATAATGGCTAAAATTCAGTTTCTGAAATTACTGTTTAAATTGTAAAAGTGTGTCGTCATACTTTCTAATCCTCCTTTCCCCTTGTCACACATCATCACGACTCTGGACCCTCTTCATGAAGAATATGGTGAAGAGTTTTTGTCTGCTGTCTTGGCATTAACTCTTGTGGTACCATAACTGAATCCCTTTACCATTTTATGGTTGTTTTGTTTCTGTGTGCACCACATTTTTTAGAAATTATGTTATATTTTAAACCTCTGTCCACTGTTTTACAACATAAAATAAAAGTAAACATTAAGACTTTCAGTGGTTGTCAATTACAAACCATGTTAAAGTATAAAACATTTTTCATATCACTTGTTTATTTTGCGAGTTTATTTCATGAGTTTTCAATCAGTCAAATTTTTAAATAAATTTTTTTTGCAAATCCCATCCTGTTTTTTATTTTTGCCTCCTCTAATAGAGCCAAAAGGATTAAGACTGGTAATTTTCTCAATGAAATATTTAGTTGTTTTACCAAATTAATGTTTGGTACTCATTACAGCTGAGTGCACTCAGACAACACCCTAAGCTTCTAGCAAAAAAATAGTTTTCAGTAAACACTTAACATTTAATGAGGTCTAGCATCTAGCCCTAAAACACCCTACTCATATCATGCAGTTTGTCTAAGATGATATTATAGTCTTATTAAGAACATAGAGGAAGAAAAAAATTATTTTACATAAAACAACAAAACTACCATTTTCTGGCTAAACATTTTAAACCAGGCTATTTTTACATTTACTTTATTTGTCATTCCAAGCAACACTTTCAATTATTTGTTTGTATCAATAAAGAAAACAAATTTTTTTTGTCTCTAGTGTTTTCATCTTCTCATCAAATCGTGTCCCCTGCCTACAGTCCAGTGACCTGAACCTAGAGACTGTCATAGCTGTCAACTCAGGTCTCCGCATTCATGCAGGTACTGGTCCATACAGTGTCACAGATTGTTTTTGTTCTACATTTTTTCCAGGTCAGGACCTTATGGTCCATAGAGCAGGTGAAGTAGAGTTAACCTGGGCCGTAATGGCCATTTACTCAGCTCTCCACGTCCATGCTGGTATTGGTACATACAGTGGCATTTGTTACGGCTGTACATTTTTCTATGTCTGGAACCTTATGGTCAGTGGAGCAGGTGAAGTAGAGTTAACCTGGATCATAATGTCCATTTACTCAGCTCTTTGCATTCATGCTGGTATTGGTGCATACAGTGTTACAATGGTATTTGTTTTTGTAATACATTTTTTCTAGTTTGGACCTATTGTCCATAGAGCAAATGAATAAGAGTTAACCTCTTTCAAGAGACCGTAATGGCCATTTTATCAGCTCTCTCATGCTGATATTGTTTGTCTTTACATCATTGTGTCAATTTTCCACGTACATCTTTCTGTGTCAATATCTTGTAGTATATGGGTGGAATTTCATAAGTTACTTCAAACAATTGTAAAAATTTAAACTTTTTGCTTCATATCTGTAGTCTTAACTTATGTACTTTTCTAAATTCAATCCTGCAGTTTAAAATTTTATTTTTGTATTATTTTTTGTTTAAAAAATGTATTGTTTCAGAGTTTTCAAACTTGTTTCATTTTTTGTTTGGATTTTGAAGTATTTGTACCTTACACAACAGCTTATATATTAGTTAAAAAATCTAATTTTTTTCATTATAAAACAAATTATGTATTTGTTTTCTTTTCCATAGAGGCTCCATCTAAACAAACTGGTACGTTTAATCCCACATATATCCTCGTATGGTATTTGGTTTTTTTCCCCAATTATTGTTTTTTTTATCCCAAATTTTTATTTGATTTTCCTTTATTTAATTTTTTTTTATGTTATGCACAATATAGTATTTTATTTTTTTTTTTACTCATAATCCAAACAAAATACTTTCGCTATGTTTTTAATGTCAGCAAGTTTTGGTTTACAACATGTTGAGACTGTTTCAGATTTCCATTTGTCGCTGACCTCATCTGACATTAACATTGTGCTGGAGATGCCGCGGCAAGGTTCAGCCACAAGTTTCTTAGCCTTCGTTAAAGATGGTAAATATTTCTTGTGTTCCATTTATGGAAGGTCATGTTTGATTAGCCTCATTCATTTGTCTTTAAGTTAAATCACTCCAAGCAGAATGATCTGTAGGAGACAGTAAATGTATTGTGAAAATAATTGACCACTACGTCACTTTCTATAAGATAAACCAGGAGCGATCTCCCCTAAGCTTTCTCGAATATTCTTGTATAACACTACGGGGGATGGCAACTCGGGATATAGAGAATATTTTTAATCCATTTTTAATTACTTAAATTTTTAAAAATAGAATAGAATCTCTTAGAAAAAAGAATTGCACACCAAGTGAACGCCAAACAAAATGTGCATAATAGTGCGGGATATTATTAGTACTTTATAAATTCACATGTTTTTTGAGAAATCGGAAATAGCGTAAATTACTACTTCCGTTCAACAGAAATTACTCAAAATTTGAAAGAGGGTAGAGGATTAGATCTTTTACTTACGTGTGAAATTTCATTTATCTATATGAAATAGTACTCAAGTTATAGGCTTTTGAAAAATTGAAAGTAGAAAAAGTTCCACTTCCAGTGATACGGATCTACAAATTTGATATAATACTTATATATGAAATTTCATCAACCTAGCTGTAACGGTACTCAAGTTATCGTGTTTACAGACACACACCCACACACTTACACACACACAGACATACGGACAAGATTGCAAAATTATGTTTTTCCGACTTAGATTATTTTTTTTTGCACGATTACAATACTTTCTGTATACTCTGTATACGAGAAATTAAAAAGAGAATGTTTGGAGAGCTAGGGAGGATAAGTATTGATTTAGGAAAATTTTTTTATTCAGAACAAATACAGTTAGCTCCCTTCTTTTTACCTGTGTTGTATGAATGGCTCTAGACGTACAATTTTTACTTTTCTATTCAGTACATATGCAGTTAGCCCCCTTCTCCCAACCTGTGTTCTACGAATGGCTCCATAAGTACAGGAAACTAAGCTCAGACTACAACCAGTCCTCAACAGACCAACCCCTGATAGAGGATTTGTTTGATCCATTGAAACACATGAACATTCAGGAACCAAACACAACTGTGCTGGCCACAGGTAGGTCAACATGCTTTAATTAATGTGCTGGTAAACATTTAGTGTTGATACACATTTTATGTTGTAGGTTGTCAAAGATTTTAATTGTAATAGATATATTCATAACGATGCCAAGTTTACAACTCAATGTTTTACACTAAACATATGTTACTATCCATGAATATATTAGTGAAGGAATCTGCTAGTATCATCTTCATCATCATCTCTTCCCCTTCATGCCCAAGACTCATGGGGCTGATGAATTAGTGTCCATTTGTTTTACTTACCCTTGCATATTAGTGAATAGTGTGGTCAACACTATGCCCAGCTGCCGTAGTTTCCTGAATGTTAGTCAGGTACCCAAAAGAGCTAGGTGAAGTCAGGGACATTCTAGAGACTTGAACCCAGGATCCGAACTCAAGACTTTTGAGTTGGCAGTTGTAAGCTCTACCATCCAACCATGTCAGGCTCTTTGCCAACTTGTACAGCATATTGATATTCCGAAAAACATAAGCTTGGTCCCTATCTCAAGTCCATTTGATTCCCTATAGTCCACCAAGTTCTCATGGGTACCTGAGACTGTGAAAGTAGAGGCAGTTGGTTGTTTTTTTCTGGTTCATGAATACATGATTAAGTATTTGTTTATTTGAAAACATGAAACATTCAACAGATTGCTCGACCACTTAATATATCTAGGGTAATGTCAGATTATGGTTTGACCAATCAGCTAACAGGATTGTAGTCATAAAGTCTTCCACTTCACCTCCCCTACCACTTTCCTCACACATAGACTCCCCCAACCATTCAGCAATACACATTCATATTTTTATTTTAGCAAATTTCTTTCAGTAATATTTGAGAATACATTTTTTAAGCAGTTGGGAGGTTTATTTATTTTTATCCTCTTTTTCTACCTTCCCTACAGAAGATTCCAACAGAACAACCAAATGGTTTGATGACTTTGCATTACCGCAACCAAGTAATGGTTTACAGTATTCTCTCAGGTCCTCTAGCAGAGATTCTCTTGACAAGATTTCTTCTAGGTCAGTTTTTTAATCAGTTGTTCTCAGGTCCTCTAGCAGAGATTCTGTTGACAAGATTTCTTCTAGGTCAGTCTTTTAATCAGTTGTTCGATAAGTGTACTTGTGATGGTAAATTAGGTTCGAAACATTACTTAGAGTTTGTTGTGTCAATGCTAAAAAAAGCAACAGAAAGGACTATGTTGATCTGACTGGGGGCTCCTGGACATAGATCTATTGACAATACCCCCTCACCACCACCCCAAGGGAGGTTTGTATAAGGAAATACAAATGATAATGTCCAGGGAGGATTGTGACAGGTCACTGCCCTGAGTGGGTTAGGATAAACGAATGGGGGATAGGACACATCGGAGTGGGGTTGAGTTTTAGAGAATTGTTACAACGAAGCTTAAGACATGGTATAATGTTATGTTAATGACAGATGACTTATTGCTTCAGTGTTTAACAAAATAGAAAAATTGTTTAATGCTTAGGAAATTGTTCTAGATATCTATTCTTTTCTTGCAATAAATAATTAAAAAGTAAAGTTCCCTTTTCAAACCTGACGGTCTATAAGGCAAGTGAAGTAGAGTTCACTTGTTTCTGTGACCTCGGCATATAAAGAGATAGTGTGGTCAGCACTATGCCCAGCCGCCTTTACGTGTGTTAGGTACCCATCGGAGTTGGGTGGGCTCAGGGATGGTCTACTGATGTGAACCCGAATTCGAACTCGAGACTTACGGGTTAGCAGTCCAGCTCTCTACCGCTAGACCACTCCGTCCCATAATAAATAAGTAAATTGTGGTATATTTTCTTCAATTTAAAGTTCAAGTGTTATACATTCTCATATAGTTCATCTGTTGTACTCTCTCACCCCATGTCATCCACCCATCTTCATCCTTTGCCTGATGTTGTCCACTCAGGAATGAAGACTGCACAGACTCAATGGACGCTGTCCAGCAGCAGTTAGCCATCTCCTGTGGTCTGGAATCTCCTGTAGGGTCCAAGCCAGTGTCCAACAGAGAGAAAGTGGTGCGGCAGCTGTTGGCCGACAAGGAAACAGAGTTCACAGATTTAAAATCATTTAAGTAAGTTAAACTTTTTAAAAAAAATTATCTTATATTTTTTTGTATCTGTAGATAGATAATAAACAATGTCAAATTTTAAAAACCCCATCAAAGAAACCCCCATTTTAAATATACCCATTGATAAAAAAAAATAATCCATATATACACACAGTGAAAACTTTTCATGTCTCCATCTCCACATTAGACAGTTTCCTAATCTTTAATCAGTTAGTAATAAAACAGATAGTGTTTGTTAACTCACAAGTTAAAGACTGTTAAAAATACTATTCACGTTTCGACCCAAAGTTTTTTTCAGCGTACAACAATGGGGTTACAGACTAGACAGAAAAGACAAACAGTAACACAGTTTTGGACTTAGCTTGACTGTGAAAACCTAAATCCTATACCTAACACATAATAACCTTTACCGGTAGCGTCCTTCAGTTTGTGGGGAAGGTGGGGGAGGGCTAGTTTGATTAACAATTTGATTAACAAGAGTGTATTATCATGCTTCCATTGCACATACCCACACCTCAGCTTATGATGATGTGTTCTGTATATGAAACATATAAGTTACAATTGAAAAAAAAAATGTTGAACCATTAATTTGTTGACAGGGTATTCTGTGGTACTTGGAATGTTAATGGTCAGTCCCCTGCTGAGTCACTCCATAAGTGGATGGTTGTTGATGATGAGCCTCCGGACATCTATGCTATAGGGTATGTGGTCTAGAGGGTGTGGGGTGTGTGGTATGTAAGGTGTGGTGTCTGTGATCCTATGGTGTGGGGTGTGTGGTCTGTAGCTTGTGTGGGGTGTGTGGTATGTAAGGTGTGGTGTCTGTGATCCTATGGTGTGGGGTGTGTGGTCTGTAGCTTGTGTGGGGTGTGTGGTATGTGAGGTGTGGTGTCTGTGATCCTATGGTGTGGGGTGTGTGGTCTGTAGCTTGTGTGGGGTGTGTGGTATGGGAGGTGTGGTGTCTGTGATCCTATGGTGTGGGGTGTGTGGTCTGTAGCTTGTGTGGGGTGTGTGGTATGTGAGGTGTGGTGTCTGTGATCCTATGGTGTGGGGTGTGTGGTCTGTAGCTTGTGTGGGGTGTGTGGTATGTAAGGTGTGGTGTCTGTGATCCTATGGTGTGGGGTGTGTGGTCTGTAGCTTGTGTGGGGTGTGTGGTATGGGAGGTGTGGTGTCTGTGATCCTATGGTGTGGGGTGTGTGGTCTGTAGCTTGTGTGGGGTGTGTGGTATGTGAGGTGTGGTGTCTGTGATCCTATGGTGTGGGGTGTGACAACTCTAGTATTTTTCTTGTACCCTCTAGATTTCAAGAGCTAGATTTGAGCAAGGAGGCGTTTATATTTAGTGAATCACCCAAGGAAGCAGAATGGCAAAATGCTGTGAAGAGTTATCTTCACCCTAAAGCCAAATACAAGAAAGTAAGTTTTTTGTAAAACAGGGTACATTGTTGACAACTATAAATTGAAAACTTAATAGCAGAACATTGTAATGATACTAGTGGCTACATATTTTGAGCTATTCATGCCAATCTAAATCATTCCTTAAGCCTTTTTGGGACACTGATTGGTATGCCTGGGGTACGAACTTGGGACTTTCCAGTTTAACAGCCATGAGTTTTACTGACCCGACCACGCCAACCCCTTTTAAGTTACAAGCCAGAGTTATATTTTACCTAAATATTATATATAACTAAATTAGTTGTTTTATTTTATTTTTTTGTGGGTTTTTTTTTTGTTGTTGTTGTTACTTTTCAGTTACTTTAATTGTGTTGTAGTAAAAAAAAATGTTTAAGCCTTTAAAAGAAATTTTGATTTCAGTTAAATATTTTTTTTTGTCTATTTCAGGTTAAATCTGTACGTCTAGTCGGAATTCTCCTAATTGTTTACATACAAACAAAACATGTTCCATACGTCAAGTTCCTTGACACAGACACAGTGGCTACAGGCATCATGGGAATAATGGTAAGTAAACCTGGATTGGATATTGTAAAAAAAAAATAATGTTAATAAACCTTCAACATTATGCTGTATAATTGTTTTTAAGTTGCAGTTTGTGGGCCGTCAAAATGTATTATATTTTTTTGTTTTCTTCTAAATCTTACAAAAATACTTGTTCTTCACCTAAATTTTATTCTCATCTATGAAATCATATCATCACATCCACAATTTTAAAAATATTTTCCTTTATCACTTGAATTAATATATCCGCTAAGATTAGATAATAGAAGCCCAGTGTAGAAGAGTTAGCTGTAAAATACTTGGCTGACTGCACAATTTAAGTGATGCACACTACCTTAACACATTTACTTTATAAACATCAAAACATAATGATAAAAAAATTAACATAATTATTATAAAAAAAACTGTCCTCTGTATACCAGGGCAATAAAGGGGGCGTGTCAGTCAGGATGTCACTACACAGCACATCCATTTGTTTTGTCAACTCACACTTGGCAGCACATCAGGATGAGTACGAGAGAAGAAACCAGGTCAGTAATTTAATTATTGAATTGTTAATCAATGATTTTTTTTTTAGTATGAATCTGTATAGGAAATCATTTATAAACTATAGTAGGAGTTGAATTATTTAGTGGTGTTTATATTAATAAGATAGACAAAAGTAAATAAACATATTAGTCAGTGAATTGTTATTTAATGGTTTTATATAATTAATTTTATTACTGTGAGAAGTGCTGCTAAATGAAGCTTTGTTTTCATTCCAGGATATAAATAAAGGCGATTGGGGGAGGGGGGGGGGGGAGAGAGAATCTTACTCATTTCCTCCATTTAATTTGTATCTTAATTGTTTTCCTCTAGGATTATAAAGATATTATGACAAGAACAAAGTTTAAAGAGTTTTCCCCACCATTGGAGATATCTGAGCATGAGTGAGTTTATTGTTCACATGCAGTCTCTACAACTAGTCTACTTGCTGTGTACATGCCCAGTCTATTTCTATTTGCTATTCACATTTTATGAAGAACGTAGATTGTTTAAAAATTATTTAGCGAGGAACATAGACTATTTGTTTAAAATTTATTCTATTATAAAAATTATTCTATGAGGATTGTAGAGTTTTTTTTTTTAAATTATTTTTGTGAGGAACGTAGATTTTATGTGAGGCGTATAGGATCTAGATGTTAGTTGTTTAAAAATTATTCTGTGAGGATTTTTTACTTTATTTGTTTACAAATTATTTTGCTTCAGTATTGTGACTTTATTTGTTTAGAAACTTTTTTCCCTCAGTATTGTTTTTTGGATTGGTGACCTCAACTACCGCATTAACCTGCAAATTGATCTGGTCAAAAAGTACATCAAAAATAGAGAATACAAGAGGTTGATATCAGAGGACCAGGTAATTCATGTTCATACTTTATTGTCTGGATTATGTCCCTTTATATTTTATTTTTTAACAACCAAACTTTTATTTCCAAGCCTTTAACTTGATATTTTAGTTGTTTCATTTAAATGTCAGCTTATTAAAATGTTAGTTTTCTCTGCTATTACATTTATTTTTGTATAGATTACCTTAAATTTATTTTTGTTACAAATTATTTTTATTTGATCAAATAACTTTCAGCTACGTCAGCAACTGAACACCAACTCTGAAGTATTTAAAGGGTTTGAGGAAGGCATCCCCAACTTTGACCCAACATATAAGTTTGACCCAGGGACAGATAATTATGATACCAGGTGAAAAAATTTGTCTTATAATACTTTGTTGTTTGGCTTAGTTGTTGTTTTCATCATAGCTATGCTATAGTATTCACATGGGAGAAATTTGAATAACTTTTTCAGTGTTGTTTATACAGATTTATAGAGATTGACTTGTAATTTTACATTAATTTGTACATCTTTATTATGGCTTACTTAATATCATGCATGAATTATAATACTCCTGCTAGTGCTAGGTCTCCATCCCTTTTTAATACACATCAACACAAGTGAATGCATTATCACTACCAGCAATCAGTGGCGGAACTAGAAAAAATGGGCCACCCCGCAAAAAAAATTTTTGGGCCCCCCATATATGTATATATATATATATATATATATATATATATATATATATATATATATATATATATATATATATATATATATATATATATATATATAACAAGGTTCGCTCTCAATTAAAAAAAAATTCCATCCGGTACACGAATAAATCAGAGGTTTGCCAACACACGAGCTGGCCCCTTTCTAAATCTAGTCCAACACACCAAACTGAGGCTTTCATCAAAACGTTACTAACCGTGTGCCCTGTTTTCCAGAAGTTGAATTAAATGTTAACAATGTCGGCAGTTCATTTCTTGGATCTTAGGGCGCGGGTTTGTCCACACTACCAACTAGACACGCCAAGGCATGCTGTAAATCCCTCTGCGACGGCCAAGGTGTCAGGGGAGTCACGGGGCTCTTGGAGCTACCGGTTACATTACTGCACGGGTGATGGGTGTGACACATTGTTTCTTCCGGCAGAGCTCCCCCCCCCTCCCCTCCCCCGAAAACAGTCTACCCTGGAAGAAACATTGGTGCGACACCTAATTAGATTTAGTCATCGAGTGTTGTAGCGAGACTTATTCCTAGTGTTGTGGGAACTTTTAAACGACTGTCTGTGGGGGCCAACTTGCTCATATGTGATGCGCTCAGGATGACACTGCCGCCGGTTGTATTCAAGTAGTAACCTCATCCGCTTATGCAAGATCTCGGGGCGCTAAATCACATATTTCCGTTAGGAGTCCCCACTCAAATATGTACAAATGTTAGGCCTATGACAGAAACCTTTGCGGGGCCGTACTCAACAGCTTCCCAAGTTTTCATGGCGATTGGGTGAATGATGCAGTAATGAATAATAGGCAGAAAAATGTTTTTCACATGTACAACTGTATGTGGCCAGGTCACGCGTTGGATAACCTTCTGATTTAGGGGAGGGGGGATTAACAAAAAGCCAGACCCTCAAACACCCCCACCTCAATGACTATTAATAATGTTCAATTAATTCTAAACGTTCTAATTAATTTCTAAATAATTATATAAAAAATAATCTTACCTGCCCTGTTTTGTGAATTAGATTTGCCTAATACTATGAAAGTAAATTAATATGTGTTGACTAGATCTAGTGCTGTCAAGTGTCTGACAAAATGTGCTGAAGTGGTGAATCGTACGGTTAGGAAGTAGTTCATAAACGATACATTTATCTCCTCGATACTTGTGAGGTTGAGAAAGAGGGATGGGATAAGGGTCGGCTCGGGAAAAAACTTGAAAGGGACAACAAAACGCCTTGATCTATGTACGTCAGCATCGCCCATTGTAAAACTTACTCAGGGGAGATAATTTGAAGTATAGGCCTTAAAAGTTTACTATATTTCCTGTAAAATCAAAAACAAGTAAACGTATATAAAACTGAAGTTTCTAGTATTATATTATTTTTTTAAAATTATTTGTACGATACAAGATAGTACAGGATACAAATTCAACCACTATCACAAACACATATTAACATTGAAAAATGTACAATGGATTTCAGGTCCCCTACCAATGCCGCAAATAAGAACCGCGCATCATGAAAGTATTGAAAGCCCACTTCATATGTAGCGGCTTTTCGTGCTATGGACTTTGTTTTTTTTTTTTTTTTTAAAGAATTTTGCCGGCGACAGCGTGTGTTTGATTGTAGGGTAATAGAACTCGGCCTTGACGATGGTTAAAAAATACAACTATAAATAACTGTTTTAAATATGTAAAGAATTTGTCGACAATTTTTTAACCCCCTTTTTGGTCCCCATCCCCTGCCCCATCCGCCACAGTATACTTTGGAGGATCGGTCAAACAGTTACGTGTCCTCTATTTAGCTATCAAAGGGAGGGGGGGGGGGGGGGGGGGGGGCAACGAGTCAAAGAAGTCATTCAAAATTTGAAGAGTTGCCTATATTTTACACTGTAGTTTGTGTAATGGATTTTATCTTTTGCGGAAGAGCGTGGTATAGTGACTGTAAAATAAAGATAATCGTACCGCAGCTACAGTGTTTTTCTTTTACAAACCAAATATTAAGGCAAAAATTAAATTCAAAATTTAAAAAAAAAAAAAAAAAATTTGGTCAGCCGTGGGCCCCTAAATGGCCTCCCCCCCCCCCCCCCCCCACCCCCCACCCCTTGCGGGTTCTGGCGGGACTGTAGTTCCGCCCCTGTTCATCAGGTAAATGAACAACTACTGACTAGTGTCTTTAACAAAATGTGCAGAAGTGGTCAGTTTACAGTTCATAGACGGTTCGTTAATCTATGCATTACATCTTATTGTAAGAGTAAGGGTGTGGTGAGTGGTGAGGGGTAGAAGTGAGGGGTAGGGGGGGAGGGGGGGGGAGAGAGTTGGGAAGGGAAGGGGACAAGAAAGCGCCGATAAACATCTACATCAATAGTGCTGACTTTTTCCGATCGTCTAGAAGACCAGGATAGTCGCCTCGCCGCAACATTTCCCCAGCCCGATTTCAAAGCGTACTGGCACAGTCAAATTTCAGATGCTTCGTCTTTGAAGTTGTCTATATGTCTGGCGGTCTCTCGAGCTATAGTCAGTGCATTTTTCTCAAAGACGTTTGCCGACTATCGTGTATGTTTGTAACTGTAGAAGAAAGATAACTCGACCTCCACCTAATTTATTTTTTTTCAATTTTTTTAAAATAATTTAGCCAGGATTTTTGGGCTCCCAATTGGTCTGGGCCCCCTCGCATTGCGGGGTCTGGCGGCACTGTAGTTCCGCCCCTGCCTGCAATATATTTGTTTATGACAGCTTGTATAGTTTAATTATATATTTTGCTACATAATATAGTAGCTTTCTATATGAAGAAAACAGAAGAAAACAAAAATAGAGAAAGTATATTATTATATGACCTACCTATTGAAAAGTAGATTTTAAATTATAAAATAGCTCATTAATTTAATATATCTTTACTTTTTTCTATTAAAAAATCATTTATAGAAAACTTAGGAAAAATGCATTTTTATTATAAACAATTTCAAAACTAAATTAAATATGCCATAGGTGTATGTATCCCCATATTAAAGCTAATTTTAATTGTTCAAGATTTAAAATGAAATTAACAAATGTTTATTTTATTACTCATAAAACTGTAAACAAAACATAATAAATTATAATTGAATAGAACTCACAAATAACTTTAGGTTGAGTATTTAGATAAGTTTAAAATATATTTCAATTGACCTGATTTAGTAAATTTAAATTCCCTTTCTTTTTTCCCAATGAAATCCAGGGTACCAAAATGTAAAAAAGGAAACATAATAAAGTCACCTGACTTGGCTTGTCTATGTAAAAAGTTAATACAAGGCAGCCATCTTTATTTTAGTTAAAACTGTTTTTGGCTGCTCTCCCTTTTTCTAATTACTGCAGACAATACGAATTTTTTTAAGAGTTAAGGAATCATCCCCCTTGTTTTTTTAATTAAGAGGCTTGTTTCAACCACTTAGCTTTTCTTCATTGTTTTTTTTCTTTAATGTTATTGTTGAGTCACAATTCAATTATGTTTAAGTTATTTCAACTCTTGTCTTTAATTAGATTTTCTAAATAGCAATGATTAAAGAAAATAACTAGCATTGAGCAAAGTCAACTGACGTAATAATTAAGTGTTGTCTTGAATGGGAGGGCTGTAGAGATAGATCATTTGTACTTTGCTTTAGTGTAACATGATTTTATTAAAACTGCTATATGTAACATACAAACATATGATGGGATTTTCAGAATTCTTATGAATGTTTTTCCCTAGTGAAAAAAGTCGTGTGCCTGCATGGTGTGATAGAATACTGTGGCGAGGGCCAGGGGTCACTCAGATCAGGTACGACTCCCACCCACAGCTGAAGGTATCTGACCATAAGCCAGTGAGCTCGCTCTTTGAAATTGGGGTGAGTCAGAGTGATTTTCATCTTTTTTTTTTAAATCATTGTTTTTTTAACATTGGAGGTGATAAAAATTGTTTTCATCCTTTTGTGAAATCATTTATTATTTAACATTGGGGTCAGTCCCTCGGGCAGATGAGGCTCGTTAGCTGGGGACAGCCACTCTTCTAGGAGAGACAACTCCAAAATTAAACAACTGCTGCCTTGTAGTTTGTTCTTGGTTGGACAAAGGCTATGGAAGCAAATCCAAAAAGAAAAGCAGGCTGAAATCGGAGTCAATGGCCTCAATGGCGCATAACCAGTTGACACGTAACGCTTAATTGTGTTGAAGGCGTGGTCGAGTCGGCAAAAAGCTCATGGTTGATAAATTCGAACAAAGTCTCGAGTTCAAACCCACTGGCAGATAAATCTCGATCCCCTTCAACACTAATAATTAAGAACGAAGAAGAAGAAGAAAAGGGGTCAGTCCAAGTCATTTCCATCCTTTTTTTTAAATCTCCTTTTTTTTAAATCGTTGTTTATTTAACATTGGAGGTTATGAAAATCATGTTCATCCTTTTTTGAAATCAGCGTTCACTCACCATTTGAATTTGTCAAATCATCCTTTTGTGAAATCATTGTTTATTTAATGTTAAATAAGACCACTTTTTGTTTTGTAACTGTTGTTTAAAGTAATAAATCAATTAGGTTGTGTTGCCTTAGGAGTAGTTGTTTCATGGCTATTTTATTTCCTTTTTTATAAAAGCAATTATTGTCAATTTTGTATTGTACATTTTTTTTATGGTGTGTCAATTCCTTTTCAATAAAAAATGAAACCCAATCTCATTTAGATATATTACTTTTAGTAAAAGTAAAGAATTCTCTTTATATCTACTGATCCATTGTGTAGATGAAGTAGAGTTCATATGTTTCTTGACCTTGGCATATGAAGGGATAGTGTGGTCAGCACTATACCCAGCCGCCTTTACCTTCCCTTAGGTACCCATCAGAGTTGGATGGACTCAAGGACGTCTATTCACTTGAACCCTGATTTGAACTCGAGACTTTTGGGTTAACAATCTAGCTCTTTACAGCTAGGCCACCCTGTCCCATTTTTTTCACATTAGTTTAGTATTAAAATGTATTTGTTACCAGTAGTACATCATTAAAATGTATTCCTTGATTGTGTTGGTCAGGTTAGAGTTATAGATCAGAAACGGTATAAGAGAGTTTATGAAGACATCATGAAGCATCTTGACCGACTGGAAAATGACTACTTGCCCCAGATCAAATTAGACATTACAGAGGTACGTTCTCTACTCGCTCCTGATATAATTTACAACAGTTCTTTTAAATTTTTAATCGCTTATATCTTTGTTATAATAATTATAACAGTTGTTTTAAATTTTCTACTCGCTTATGTCTTTGTATAATTATTACAGAGGTACGTTCTCTATTCGCTCCATATATAATTATAATAGTATCTAGAAAAACTTTTTCCTAATAACCTATTAAACTATATTTGATTTTTCTTTCAGTGCGTATTCAAGGACGTAAAGTTCATTGAACCCCAGTCTCAGGTTGTGACAGTAGCTAATATAGGCCAGGTGAGTTCACTGTCTCACCTGTATGTAAAGTTCATTGAACCCCAGTCTCAGGTTGTGACAGTAGCTAATATAGGCCAGGTGAGTTCACTGTCTCACCTGTATGTAAAGTTCATTGAACCCCAGTCTCAGGTTGTGACAGTAGCTAATATAGGCCAGGTGAGTTCACTGTCTCACCTGTATGTAAAGTTCATTGAACCCCAGTCTCAGGTTGTGACAGTAGCTAATATAGGCCAGGTGAGTTCACTGTCTCACCTGTATGTAAAGTTCATTGAACCCCAGTCTCAGGTTGTGACAGTAGCTAATATAGGCCAGGTGAGTTCACTGTCTCACCTGGAATCATACTGAAGCGCTATAAAGCTAAATCAAGCTTTAAAAAAATATTCAGAAAACTTAGCAAAACTATTAAACTTTAATTGTTTCCTTTTTTTCTTTTTCCAACTTTTCTATCAACATAATAAAAATGTTTTTATTGATATAGAGATTATATTTGTAGACAAAAGCTGAGATTTTACCAACCTAATTTTTCTATTTGCCAGATACCAGTAGAGTTTGAGTTTATCAACAAGTTGGATGATCAAACTTATTGCAAACCTTGGCTGAAGGCCAACCCAAGCAAGTCTTTCATCTATGCTGGTATGTCCTGTCTTTATTCTCATGGAAGGTTTATTATTCTTTACTGACAAAATTAATGTATTAATAGTAATGATGTCTAATATAAGGTTATCTATATATATAATTCTCTTCTGGGAGCCGTTAGAAAACAAGCTGCAAACGCGCCTTGCAATCCCCTCTCTTCCTCTCTGTCGCTACCACACCCCCCCCCCCCCCCACACCCCCTCACATGGCCTGGTGAGCTGTGGTTCACGCTGTTTACATTTTACAATCATAGAGACGGGTTTGGTGACTGCTATTAGGGGCAGATAATTTAGTTTGAAACGATTTTAAACTTAGAGGAGGTAACTAAGAGGAGTCTGCTTTTACGGGGGGGGGGGGGGGGGGGAAGGGGGGAGGGGGGGTAGTGTTTTAAAGCAAATATTTTCAGTGGCAGCATTGGTACTGTCGAATTCACAAATTATGAATTACTGAAGAGTAGAAAAACAACAACTAAATAGCGGCGTATGATACACCGCGGGTCGGCTCGTTTATTCTTAATAGACAAACACAACAGGTTTATAGCAAAGCTACGATTATTTCCATACTCTTTAACATCAGACTTTATTTAAACTTGGTGATCTCATGATCACACTTAAAATTATTATGAAAGTCAAATAGTTGTTTTAACTGTGATATAGAAATGTAGAGAAATTATATTACTTGGCGTGGTCGAGTCGGCAAAACTCATGGTTGTTAAATTCGAAAAAGTCTCGAGTTCAAACCATCTGGCAGATAAGGCCCGAACACTAAAAATTAAGAACGAAGAAGAAGAAGAAGATTTACATACAAAATTTTATGCTAAAAAATCTTTGATTTAAAAAGATGCCACAGTGGGCAGACATCCCCACTGTTGTGAACACACGGACACGCCTTTCGTGTGGTCCGATGTGTAGCGCAACACATAAGACAAACAACCACAAACAGGTTACAAAACAAGACTGAATGAAACAAAGGCTCGTGAAACTAAAAGATTTTAATAGTATATACACTATCTACACATAACAGTCTAGTCTAAACACAAAATACACAAGCTAGTAAACTAAGATACAGTGGCTAAAAACTACTCTAAACCTAACCTGTACTAACCTTGGAGATCTGGACAAAACTGAGGCAATCACACACGTTTTCACACACCTTATATACCCTTTCATAAACTGGTACAAACCGGACTATTACAACTCACAGCACGAGAACTGAAGAAGGTCGAACGGGACAGGGTACAAAGTACAACAACATTCACCCCCATTCATCCCCCTTCACTCGTTCACTACACCCACTGAATCAGATATGCTACTTGAGTTCTTGTATCATGCTGTATGCTACATTCCACACACGGTTAACTGATCTAAATGTTTCAAAGGTGCATGTTGCGAGGTCAGTATAGAAGTGTACGTGGACAAGACGACCGCAGCCAAGCTGAACTCAGGAGAAGAGAAGCTGGAGGACATATTGGTGCTGCACTTGAGCGGAGGCAAAGACTCTTTTGTATCCTTTCATTCTGAATCATTTGTTGGGGCAATTTTTCAGTTACACATGGCAAGTCATGAAAACTGTTGTGCCTTGGGATTCAAACAAAAGTTAAATCAGTGGACTTTAAAACGGTTTTTTTTGACATCCTTAGATTTATTTAGATTAATTTAATTTACTTTTGCAAGCTAGTAGTCATTGGTTTTACACTGTAAACGTTGTATAAAGAAAATCTGTAATTTCCGTTTTTATGCACAATAAATTTCTGTGAAGCTTCAAATTTCTTCCTAAAAATCTTGAATTGTTTAAGGAAATATTGTAAAGAAAATTTCCTTTTTTTAGGTGGTCAGTTAGATGTTTTAGGTGGTCAATTAGATGTTTTAGGTGGTCAGTTAGATGTTTTAAGTGGTCAGTTAGATGTTTTAGGTGGTCAGTTAGATGTTTTAGATGGTCAGTTAGATGTTTTAGGTGGTCAGTTAGATGTTTTAGGTGGTCAGTTAGATGTTTTAGATGGTCAGTTAGATGTTTTAGATGGTCAGTTAGATGTTTTAGGTGGTCAATTAGATGTTTTAGTTGGTCAATTAGAACTCAAGTGAGCACAAAATGGTTTTTATCCCACATTGTTTCACATGAGCAACGCACTAAAAACTGACCAAAAAAATAATGAATTACAGATGAATATAGCTGTTACAAAAAGAACCCACTGGTGACTCAGCGCATGATTTAGCATTGGGTTATTGGTTTCCCAGATGTTACTGGTTTCATTATTGTAATAAAGTCACTGTAAATGTCCAACCAGAGAGAATAAAAGAAATAAATAAATTACAAGCCGGCAAACCTTAACCCCTATGCAGATAACTGTCAGTGGTAACTACTTGACCAGCACATTTGGCTCATCCATAGAGGCCCTTGTCCAGATGCATGGACCCATCAGAGAGGTGCCAGTAGCTGATTTAATAGAGATTGTAAGCTTTTATTTTAATTTGTGATGGCTTTTTTTATATACTTATGGTTTTTTTTTCTGCTTGGTAGAATCTGGTACATATAAATAAAGTAAGTTTTAACCAAATTAAGTCTAGTTCACAAGTTTCTGTTAAAGGCAGCTTGGCATAGAACTGACCAGATAGCTACTTCACAGCAACATGTGAGCTATGCTGTACATGTTGTATAGACTGCCAGGTCTATAAAGTAACTTGTTTAAACAGGTTTTAATGGCTGCATTGTTTTAGTTGGCATCTGTTGATCTATGTAACCATTGATTGTCCAGTCTACTTGGTCAATTTATTTGATATTTTTTAATATTTTATAAATTAAAAACTCTGCATCACCTGCAAAATCATAGGTATAAAAGCTATGTATTAACCATTAACCAGGTGTCATGTAGTTGGGCGGGTTAGCGTATGGTTGCTAACCTGATAGTCCCGAGTTCAAACCCCCTTGCAGATGAGGCTCGATAGCTGGAGACAGTAACCAATCTAGGAGAGAAAACTCCAAAATCAAACAACTGATGCCTTGTAGTTCTTGAATTAACAAAGGCTATGGAGCTAAATCCAAAAAGAAAAGCAGACTGAAATTGTATTGAACTGCTTATATGGCACTTAACAAGTTGACAAGTATTAGTTATGTTGAGAGAAATACTATCCAACATTACAATGAAGAACAAGAAGCAGATGGCTAACAAACAACTATGTTGTCTTGTTTCTCTCCGTGATTATAGGAGCAGCCAGGGAGTTTAAGTCGTGTGGACATTGCCCGGGATGGTGGGAGGCTGTACATGATACCCAAGGAGATCTGGAAGCTGGTGGACTTCTTGCGCAAGAAAGGTTTAGATCAGGTCAGTGCCAGTCTGCTGCTCGTGTTTACACAACTATTTTAGGGGCTATATTCACAACTATTGTACAGTCTGTGTTCCACATTTTTGTGTTCATTATTTCAGTTGGGTAAATTGATTTGTGTAATTGCTCAGTGCTCTGTTGTTGTAAATCATGTTAAAAAATTAGAAGCTCTTATGAAATATACAAAAGTTTATTTAAAACTTTAATAACGAAACAAATATATTCTTTCTTAGGCTGACCTGTTTCAAATGCCAGGAAGGAATTCTGAAATCCAGCAAATCCGGGACTGTCTGGATACAGGCAAACCTGAGCTACTACGTATCCTTAACTTTATAGTGTTAACATAACATCCACATAACTAGTGGAAATATACAATCATCCACATTCTCATGTTAACATAACATCCACATAACTAGTGGAAATATACAATCATCCACATTCTCATGTTAACATAATATCCACTTTCTAGTGAATACAATCATCCACATTCCAGTATAAACATAGTCATCCATAATCTAGTGTAAACATACAATCATTCATGTTCTGTTCTCTGGAAGTCTGTTCTCAAACATTAAATTATACAACACAATTTTTGTTTGTTTTAAAATCGTATATTTTGAGGTTCTTTTGTTCTTATCTATTTGATTCTCATTTTTTTATATTTGAATTAAATTTAGGATTTAAATTTAAAAAGCAATGCATTGCTGTTTATTTGTGTGTATGTTGATGGTTCTTAACCCCACACCCAGCCGACCAATTGAATGTCCATTCCGTGGCCGAATCTTTGCTCTTGTTCCTTGAGTGTCTGGCCCAGCCCGTCATCCCTTACGACTTCTACAGCAAGTGTCTGACCTCATCCAACAACTTGTTGCTCAGCAAACAGGTACGTGGGAATCTCGTCTCACAGTAGCAACACAATAAAGCCATCTCACAGCAGTGTGACACAACAAAGCCATTTGACAGTGGTGACACAACAAAGCCATCTCACAGTAGTGACACAACATAACCATCTCACAGTAGTGACACAACAAAGCCATCTCACAGTAGTGACAAAACAAAGCCATCTCACAGTAGTGACAAAACAAAGCCATCTGACAGTAGTGACACAACAAAGCCAGTGACACAACATAACCATCTCACAGTAGTGACACAACATAACCATCTCACAGTAGTGACACAACAAAGCCAGTGACACAACATAACCATCTCACAGTAGTGACACAACATAACCATCTCACAGTAGTGACACAACCATCTCACAGTAGTGACACAACAAAGCCAGTGACACAACATAACCATCTCACAGTAGTGACACAACCATCTCACAGTAGTGACACAACATAACCATCTCACAGTAGTGACACAACAAAGCCATCTCACAGTAGTGACAAAACAAAGCCATCTGACAGTAGTGACACAACAAAGCCATCTGGCAGTAGTGACACAACCGTCTCACAGTAGTGACAAAACAAAGCCATCTCACAGTAGTGACACAACATAGCCATCTGACAGTGGTGACACAACAAAGCCATCTCACAGTAGTGACAAAACAAAGCCATCTCACAGTAGTGACACAACAAAGTCATCTCACAGTAGTGACACAACAAAGCCATCTCACAGTGGTGACACAACAAAGTCATCTCACAGTAGTGACACAACAAAGCCATCTCACAGTAGTGACAAAACAAAGTCATCTCACAGTAGTGACAAAACAAAGCCATCTCACAGTGGTGACACAACAAAGTCATCTCACAGTAGTGACACAACAAAGTCATCTCACAGTAGTGACACAACAAAGTCATCTCACAGTAGTGACAAAACAAAGCCATCTCACAGTGGTGACACAACAAAGTCATCTCACAGTAGTGACACAACAAAGCCATCTGGCAGTAGTGACACAACAAAGCCATCTCACAGTGGTGACACAACAAAGTCATCTCACAGTAGTGACACAACAAAGCCATCTCACAGTAGTGACACAACAAAGTCATCTCACAGTAGTGACAAAACAAAGCCATCTCACAGTAGTGACACAACAAAGCCATCTCACAGTAGTGACACAACAAAGCCATCTCACAGTAGTGACAAAACAAAGCCATCTCACAGTGGTGACACAACAAAGTCATCTCACAGTAGTGACACAACAAAGCCATCTGGCAGTAGTGACACAACCGTCTCACAGTAGTGACAAAACAAAGCCATCTCACAGTGGTGACACAACAAAGTCATCTCACAGTAGTGACACAACAAAGCCATCTGGCAGTAGTGACACAACAAAACCATCTCACAGTAGTGACAAAACAAAGCCATCTGACAGTAGTGACACAACAAAGCCATCTGGCAGTAGTGACACAACCGTCTCACAGTGGTGACACAACAAAGTCATCTCACAGTAGTGACACAACAAAGCCATCTCACAGTAGTGACACAACAAAGTCATCTCACAGTAGTGACAAAACAAAGCCATCTCACAGTGGTGACACAACAAAGTCATCTCACAGTAGTGACAAAACAAAGCCATCTGGCAGTAGTGACACAACAAAGCCATCTCACAGTAGTGACACAACAAAGTCATCTCACAGTAGTGACACAACATAGCCATCTCACAGTAGTGACACAACAAAGCCATCTCACAGTAGTGACAAAACAAAGCCATCTCACAGTGGTGACACAACAAAGTCATCTCACAGTAGTGACACAACAAAGCCATCTGGCAGTAGTGACACAACCGTCTCACAGTAGTGACACAACATAACCATCTCACAGTAGTGACACAACATAGCCATCTGACAGTGGTGACACAACAAAGCCATCTCACAGTAGTGACAAAACAAAGTCATCTCACAGTGGTGACACAACAAAGTCATCTCACAGTAGTGACACAACAAAGCCATCTGACAGTAGTGACACAACAAAGCCATCTCACAGTAGTGACACAACAAAGCCATCTCACAGTGGTGACACAACAAAGTCATCTCACAGTAGTGACACAACAAAGCCATCTCACAGTAGTGACACAACAAAGCCATCTCACAGTAGTGACACAACCATCTCACAGTAGTGACACAACAAAGCCATCTCACAGTAGTGACACAACAAAGCCATCTCACAGTGGTGACACAACAAAGTCATCTCACAGTAGTGACACAACAAAGCCATCTCACAGTAGTGACACAACAAAGCCATCTCACAGTAGTGACACAACAAAGCCATCTCACAGTGGTGACACAACAAAGCCATCTGACAGTAGTGACACAACAAAGCCATCTCACAGTAGTGACACAACAAAGCCATCTCACAGTAGTGACACAACAAAGCCATCTCACAGTAGTGACACAACCATCTCACAGTAGTGACACAACAAAGCCATCTCACAGTAGTGACACAACAAAGCCATCTCACAGTGGTGACACAACAAAGTCATCTCACAGTAGTGACACAACAAAGCCATCTCACAGTAGTGACACAACAAAGCCATCTCACAGTAGTGACACAACAAAGCCATCTCACAGTAGTGACACAACCATCTCACAGTAGTGACACAACAAAGCCATCTCACAGTAGTGACACAACAAAGCCATCTCACAGTAGTGACACAACAAAGCCATCTCACAGTAGTGACACAACAAAGCCATCTCACAGTGGTGACACAACAAAGTCATCTCACAGTGGTGACACAACAAAGTCATCTCACAGTGGTGACACAACAAAGCCATCTCACAGTAGTGACACAACAAAGCCATCTCACAGTAGTGACACAACAAAGTCATCTCACAGTAGTGACACAACAAAACCATCTCACAGTAGTGACACAACAAAGCCATCTCACAGTAGTGACACAACAAAGCCATCTCACAGTAGTGACACAACAAAGCCATCTCACAGTGGTGACACAACAAAGCCATCTGACAGTAGTGACACAACAAAGCCATCTCACAGTAGTGACACAACAAAGCCATCTCACAGTAGTGACACAACAAAGCCATCTCACAGTAGTGACACAACCATCTCACAGTAGTGACACAACAAAGCCATCTCACAGTAGTGACACAACAAAGCCATCTCACAGTGGTGACACAACAAAGTCATCTCACAGTAGTGACACAACAAAGCCATCTCACAGTAGTGACACAACAAAGCCATCTCACAGTAGTGACACAACAAAGCCATCTCACAGTAGTGACACAACCATCTCACAGTAGTGACACAACAAAGCCATCTCACAGTAGTGACACAACAAAGCCATCTCACAGTGGTGACACAACAAAGTCATCTCACAGTGGTGACACAACAAAGTCATCTCACAGTAGTGACACAACAAAGCCATCTCACAGTAGTGACACAACAAAGCCATCTCACAGTAGTGACACAACAAAGCCATCTGACAGTAGTGACACAACAAAACCATCTCACAGTAGTGACACAACAAAGCCATCTGGCAGTAGTGACAAAACAAAGCCATCTGACAGTAGTGACACAACATAGCCATCTCACAGTAGTGACACAACAAAGCCATCTCACAGTGGTGACACAACAAAGTCATCTGACAGTGGTGACACAACATAACCATCTCACAGTAGTGACACAACAAAACCATCTCACAGTAGTGACAAAACAAAGCCATCTGACAGTAGTGACACAACAAAGCCATCTCACAGTAGTGACACAACCGTCTCACAGTAGTGACACAACCATCTGACAGTAGTGACACAACAAAGCCAGTGACACAACAATGCCATCTCACAGTAGCGACACAACAGTGCCAGTTACATGACAAAGTAAACAGATAAAACTTGGTGATGTGACTATACTCCTCAGATTGTTTCAAGCCTACCAGATTGCCATAAAAACTGTTTCCAGTACATTTGTGCTTTCTTGAGGGAACTGCTCAAATTTTCTGATAAAAATGGCCTGGAAATCAAATTTTTATGTGAGTTTTTTTTTTTAATAATCAATAATTATATATGTATGTAAAACGTATGAATGCATGTGTGTATTTATGTGTGTATGGATCAATGATGGATGTAATTATGATGTATGGATGTATAATATGTGTGTATATAAATATATAAGCTTTTGATTTTTGTTTAGGAATTGTTTTGTTTGTGATATTAGCATGTCACTACTTTTAATTTATTCCCAAGCAAAAGAATAGCCCTAAAAAATTCTGTTAGGCAGTTCACTCAAACACAATTTAACTGCAGCTATTGCTTGTGGTTGTGTCAGTATACAAAACTAATCTGTAACACACAGATTTTAACTCCATGCTAACAACATGCCGACTAATTTTAAAATCAAATTAATTCATTCAACCCCGCAGCCACCATGTTTGGGGAGGTCATGATGAGGCGACAGAACCAGCTGTTTACCACGGCAACGACCAGGGAGGCCATCGTCAAGGAGCGGAGGTCAAAGTTGAGAGAGGAGGAGGCCAAGAAAGCTGCGTTCATGTACCACTTCATCAGCCAAGATGTCGACGACGTCAAGTAGTCTGTTGCTCCTGGACTTTGCCCTGTTCTGATCGTGTATGTGCCATGTGGATGGCAGATCTGTTGTTATTTATTGAACTTGCATCTGGATGTACTAGTTCCACGTATACCTACATAAACTTGATGTATATTTGTATTCAACTTGTTACTCGCAACTTGGGCAACATGTACTAGATATTCACCGACATAAACCACAAAGCTGTTTCTGCAATGAATCTTTGTATAACTTTTGTACAACGCTTGGAACAAATTGGATCCAATATGAAGATTTTTTTAAAAGCTTGAAATATTTTCCGATGTGATTTATGATAATGGATTGTGTTGTTGCTTTCTGCTGTTGTAGAATAGATTGATATTTTTGGTACTGGAACAAATTTTCATCATATTTAAGTGGTTTTGTACTCATTCCATTCACATTGTCACTTAATGGGTAAAAACAAGTTTCAACTTGAACGTTTATTAGCCAGCTTCCATAAATCATGTTACATAATTTTTTGTATACACCAAATAAATTATGTTGTATAAATTTTTGTATACACAAACTCCGCCCCTTGCTAGAAATTGTCATTCAGTGCAGAACTGCATAGGGGAGTAATTATTTTAAATTGCAATAATAAATTTTCCTACTCTCATCATGTAGGCGATGTCTGTTTTGTTTGATTAGTTTAGATGCTATTTACTACCAACAATTTTTGAGTACAGTCGTTTAGAAAACTATTACTAATAAGCTATACACTTGCAGTATTTTGGCTAGCAAAGTATCATTGAGGTTCAAAAAATAGTGGGTTTTTTTTAACCAACATGTTTCCCTAAATGTTTGTGTTACTTCTTGCCAATAGAACACGAAATCTTTAGAGTAGCCTGTTTGTAATGATGGGGGTAGGTGTGTGAAAGCTAATTGTATGGTGAAAACCAACTAGTCAAAATAGATAGTGATGTTTCCTTACAAAATGGAGGCGTGATGTTTCCTTACAAAATGGATGCAAAGTTTCCTGCATATGTTGAGGCTACTGTTAATCTGTAGTGTTAAAATTTGCAGGGCCTAGATAATTATTGTAAAGGTTGGCACTTCATCTAGGTTAAGGCTTCAGGATTTTAAAAAAAGCCTATGCAAAGTAAGGCATTATGCTAACCTACTATTTGCATTTAAAATCCCTCATGTTACAGTTAATTAAAAAAAAAACATGACATCATTTATGGAAGCTGGTTTTGCTAAATCAGGCTTTGGATAGATGGTTTACAGAGACCAAAGTACAGTTCAATTGTAATGATTCCATTCACAACCTAGAACAATCTGGGAGCAGTTTTGTTTCACTTGCACCAGATTTTTACAAAATTATTGACTACTTGTGATTGCCTGTATGCCTGCTTGATTTTTCTGTATAATCGTATTGCAAATCAGTTTTGTGATTTGCAAGTTTTAAAACATACAAATTAAGATAGTGAAATATATTTTGTAGAAAATTAAATCTATTTCTTACTGTTTTTAATTTTTCTGTTTGAACTTCATATATATGAATAAAGTGTTTGTATATATTTTCTGAAAACGCTTATAAAATTGGCATTGTCAATAGTCATTGATACAATAGAATGGAAGACTAATCTTTCACAAGACAGACGTTGGTTGTATCTATCTCTGCTCATGTTGTTTGTGTTAGCTGAGCCTAAATATTGAACGAAGCTGTGTTATGTTCGTTGTAGTGCGGCCTGGTTGATGTGCTTCGATGTTGACAACCTACACTTTCATTCTCTGTGCCATTCACAAACCATTGTAATTATTGTACAGCAGTTACAGCAGTCTAAACATTTCTATCAATAGTGTTGTTTGACTATATGCCCATAAATATTATGTTTCAAAGTTTTCAAATGGAAAATTTTAAAAAAAAAACTGTTTAAAGTGACACGTCCGCCCTATGGTTAATTAACAATTAACAAAGTTTCAACTTCTGCTGCACCAACTCTTGATTATCAACATTAAACATCTAACATGCTGGTTAATAAATGAAGTTAAACGTGACCCCCCCCCCCCCCCCACTTGACCTGTGTATCTCCAAATCTGTCATTTACATTTTTGTCAGCTTGCATACACACTTTAAGTTCGGTGACTTTAAAATTTCAGCTGCAGCTGTTGATTTGCGTTACATAAAAATTCAAACATACATGTCATTCATTAAAACATTGCAAACGTGTATCATCGTACATTATTATGTTAGCCATTCAGTGCCATATTTTCTATTTGTTAACGGTGAAAGTGATACCAAATTTTATTTTTTAAATCCAATAGTCTTTTATTTCCCAGAGAGTTTGATCATTGTAATTTCACACACATTTGGAATGATTGTAAAACACGAGATTGATTTTCTAAAGTTTGTTTTCATTCACGCTATTTGTAGGACAAATAAAAAAATTTTTAGTACCCTTAAGCAGGCTGGGGATGGTAATGGCCACAATAAACATTTATTTTCTAAGGTCACAAAAAAGGTGGAACTTTTTTTATGGATGCTCAGGCCTGAAACTGAAATGGTGCTTTCTTGTAGTATCTAAATTCTAACTTTGAATCATCTTTTCAAATAATTCTTTAGTGTACAGATCTATTTTTAAGGTAAAAATATTATTTTTTTTTACATTTTTTTTGGCTTGCAGCTCATGATAAATATTTCCCTATATTTTCCTCTGCCACACTGCAGTGCTTGTTAGATACAGATCATAAACAACTTGATGGCATTCCAAATTTTTTTTTCTCATTCTCCACCAGTTTGCACATTGGTTTATACTGCAACCTGTAATTACCCCAACCCCTCATGCTCAGACTCTGAGAACCATTGCGTCCATGTCTAACCCAGTTGAGAATCCCTGCAGCCATGCTCAACCCAGTTGAGAATCCCTGCAGCCATGCCCAACCCAGTTGAGAATCCCTGCAGCCATGCCCAACCCAGTTGAGAATCCCTGCAGCCATGCCCAACCCAGTTGAGAATCCCTGCAGCCATGCCCAACCCAGTTGAGAATCCCTGCAGCCATGCCCAACCCAGTTGAGAGCCTTTGCAGCTATGCCTAACCCAGCTAAGAACCATTGCAACTTTGCCTGAGCCGATTGAGAACCATTTTGTCTATGCTTAAGCCAATTGAGAACTATTGCAGCCAATAGGAAGTTATTATTGGTCAGGGTAGTTTCAGTTAACAATAGTATTGACAATGAATTTTTTTTAACCCCTAGCCTTTTCTAACTTTTGTTCTCAATATAAAATATCATCAGCTACTATTTTTTTTTTTTTTTTAAACTTTGAACCCATGATAAAGTATTTCCTGGTCAGCTTTTAGTTCTTTAAGCTTAATGTCCTAATACATATGTGTATATAAACTAAAGGATATTCAAGTCATTTTCTGTTGTTGTTGCTAAGATAAAAAAAAAAACTTTTAAATGTATTAGTGATGTCAGCTTTATGTGAGTAGAGTTGCTGTGTCATAACTATGGTGTGACATAAAGCCTGTATTATATGACATGTAGCCTGTATTATATGATATGTAGCCTGTATTATATGATATGTAGCCTGTATGATGTAATAAGTAGCCTTCATGAATGGTGGTATGACATGTAGCACACATAGACCATGATGAGATGTGTCCTACATGAAAGGTGTGAGACATGTAGCCTGTGTGGTGTGACATATAGCATGTACCGTGTGACATTTAGCTAACATAAATCATGATGACATGTAGCCTGCCTGGTGTGACATCTAGCCTGTACAGTATGACATTTAGCTTACATGACCATGGTATGACATCTAGCCTATGTTGTATGACATCAGTTATGACCTGTAGCCTAGATGACCATGGTATGACATGTAGCCTGTATGGTATGACGTCTAGCCTACATCACCATGGTATGACATGTAGCCTATTACAAGAACACCCACTTGAGCCTACCAACCTCTTGAGCGTACCACAATGACAAGTGTATCTCAATAGGTTCTACGAGGCTGATAAGTATGGTATACACAAAGTACGGCTATCACCAAACTTTAATCAGCTGCCCTGTAATACACAGCAGTATCTGGTTATACAAGCCTCTCATAAAACAGTAGATGAACAGTTTACTATCTCAGTTGTTAGAGATTATTATCCAACATTTGTGTTGTCTGGAGTTGTCTACCATGTGTAGTTTTGTTTGTCATTTTGTTTTATAAGAGCCATTTTATACATTTTTTTCCCACCTGCAAAATAAAGTTAATATTTTTTTGGTTCTTAAAATTTTAGCAGCATAAATAAAATTAATTGTACATTTTTTTTTCAATGGTTTTCTTAGTAACCTGTTTTTTTTTAAATAGCCTATTGCTAAAAATAAAGCTGAAACTATTCATTCAGAGTTAGATTTCACACTGGCCCCTTGACCTAGCACTATTATCATCATCACAACTTGGTCACTTCATATCCAATCTTAGCATTCCATTAACTTGTGTCAAGCCATCTTGATATTTTTTTCTTAGTTTCAGGAATATCCCAACTCATCTCCATACAATGCACACCCCCCCCCCCCCACCCCTTTCATGTTGTGAAGTACAAATGTAAATAAAAACACACCAGCATCATGTGATAACCTCCAATGTCAACATCCCAAAAATAACCATTGCATCACCTTTGTGTCAGGTGAGCTCAGGCTCCAGAGACTGGAATGGGGCGTCGGCTGACGGTGTATAAAAAAAAAGTTTAATCTCTCAGAGACAGGTGATAGATGAACAAGTCCTGAATAAGTCGGCTTTGTTTAAACCGGTTACCTGGGGATACATTTATTGTCTACCTTAGCTTCAGGTAGGGGGAATGTTAGATGGCTTTTTAATTCCTTAATTATGTAGACTTTTGAGTGCAGGAGTGACGTATAAAGGACAATAAAAAAATAATGATTTATGATTAATGATTTATCCTGTATAGCTTTTGCAATGCGTAAATTATTTTATGATGCAGGTGTAAAATTTTGTTACAAAGCTGTAACTGTTGCTGTATAACTGTTCTATATATTTTATTTATTTATAAATAATTTTTACTAGCATCATTTAAAGTGAATGGTTAAAATACAGTTATCTTTTTGAAAAAAATCTTTAAAGTGTTGATTAATAAATATTTTAATTTAAGCTAATGTGTTGTTCTTTTTTTTTTTTAAATAAACAATTAGTTTAAAATATTTTATTTTTAAAAGCAAATGTTAATTTTAAATTAGCAATATGATAATGAGTAAACACAACTAACTTAAAATAATCAAAATGAACAATTAGTTTGAAATATTTTTTTAAAAAGCAAATGTTAATTTTAAATTAACAATATGATAGGCCTAATGACATAAAATATTAAATGAAGTGTTACGTTTACCTTTTGCCCTACAGTTGTTTTAACATCATGTTATTATTTTCCTAGTCTTTTCTTAGATCTATCCATATATATATATATATATATACCTTCAAAATGATCTCTATAGATTTTAATGTTTGTTAAAAAATATTATCACTATAAAATTTTACTTTTAACCAATTTTAATCAATTCAGGGGGGTTGGCGTGGTCGAGTCGGTAAAGCTCATGGTTGCTAAACCAAAAAAGTCTCGAGTTCGAACCGTCGGGCAGATGAGGCTCGTTAGCTGGGGACAGCCACTCTTCTAGGAGAGACAACTCCAAAATAAAACAACTGCTGCCTTGTAGTTTGTTCTTGGTTGGACAAAGGCTATGGAAGCAAATCCAAAAAGAAAAGCAGGCTGAAATCGGAGTCAATGGCCTAAATGGCGCATAACCAGTTGACACGTAACTCTTAATTGTGTTGGAGGCGTGGTCGAGTCGGCAAAAAGCTCATGGTTGATAAATTCGAACAAAGTCTCGAGTTCAAACCCACTGGCAGATAAATCACGATCCCCAATACTAATAATTAAGAACGAAGAAGAAGAAGAAGAAAGAATCAATTCAGGAAAAGATTTTATGTTGTACAGTATGCACCTTTATAAATATATATTAGCCCCACCCCCACCATATTTTATTTGTTTTTTTAAGTAGCATTTGTTACTTGTCTAGCTTTGGAAATAATGTATGCATTCTTTTGTTGTTGCATGTGAACTTTGATCAATTTATGTTTTATTCTATCCCATATTTGAAATGAGTTTTGTTTGTTTTTTTCTGTTTCTTTTTTTTTTAGAAACAAAATCTTTAACTGTTTTGCAGATATTTACCTTCACTCCTATTTATTGTTTAAATATTAGGCTAATAT